GCCCCGGTGACCGTCTCGCGTTGCTCTGCGTCCGCAGATGGCTGCAGCCAGCCCGGGGCAAGGCGCGCGGGAACGAGTACCAGCCGAGCAACACCAAACGCAAGCACAAGCACGGCTGGGCGCGGCGCCTGCGCACCGCGGCCGGCGTCCAGGTCATCCTTCGCCGCATGCTCAAGGGCCGCAAGTCCCTGAGCCACTGAGCCCCGCCGCGCCCTCCCCGCGCGGACCGCAGCGACGCCGCCCGACGCCGCCCAGCTGGGGTGGACCGTGGAGCCCCGAGGTGCGAGCGCGCTGTCGGGCCTTCCAAATCCCCACCTCGCTTTTGAGGAGTTCGGAACGTAGACACTCGGCCTCCGGATAGCACAACGACCCTGCCCCCCAGGGACTTGCCAGCCTGACCACTCGCAACTCCTACCTCCTACTCCCCCAACGGTGACCGTAACTTCAGAATATCACTAAGCGGCTAATAATCAGACTTCCACTCGTGCTGTTTTGGAAAATTAAGGCTTTCAGATTGTCCACATGCAAGACCTTGGGCAAGGCCTTGGCCCTTGGGTCCTATAAAAAAAAAAAGTGATTGTGCGCTTCTCCTTTTGCTGTTATTGAATGATAGTAATGGTGCCCGTTATCCACTTGCTGAGCAGCTGATCTGCAGAAGCCCTTGGGGAAGAGAGTGGAGTCCACACCTGGACTTAAACAGGGGGCGGAGGCACTCGACGTGGCGCTGACTCGAGCGCCTTCACTCCAGTGGAGGCAGTGTCAGTGTCTGGGAGGAAGGATTGAATAGGGACCAATGTGGTGGAGACTGGAGGGCCAAGGTAAGCTTGGGAGTTAAAGTTTGTATTACCTGTGCAAAGGTAATTCAGTCAGTTTTTTCAGGAGCCATCTAAATATGCTGAAAACAACGGTTGAAACTTAAACATTGGAAAAGAAAAAGCACATGGGTGCGGCAGTGGCACACACACATAACCCTAACTACTAAGGAGGTCGAGATCCAAGGATCCCAGCCAGGAAAGTCTAAGACTCTTACCTCCAATTATACAACCAAAAAGCCAGGGGGGGGGGGGTAGCACAGGGATCATGCCCAAGCCCTGAGTTCAAGTCCTAGGACTGACACAGACACATGGAAGATATGGTTCAATGTCAGCGCAGGTTTTTTTGTTTGTTTACTAAGTCTTTTATTGTGAAGATACTGTACAGAGGGGTTACAATTACATGGGCAAGGTAATGAGTACATTTCTTTTTTTTTTTGTCGGTTGTGGGGCCTGGGCGCTGTCCCTCAGCTCTTCAGCTCAAGGCCATCGCTCTACCACTTGAGCCACAGCGCCACTTCCAGCTTTTTTGCTTATGTGGCGCTGAGAAATCGAACCCAGGGCCTCATGCATGCATGCAAGGCAAGCGCTCTACCACTGAGCCACCTTCTCAGCCCAATGAGTACATTTCTTATCAAGTATTGGTGCTTCCTCTTGTTTTTCCCCTACCATCCCTTCCCTCCCATCTCCACAACTACACTCCACCTTCCTACCCCCACCCAGGTTTTATTTGGGAGAGAAAACCCACGAGGGAGGTCTTCCGCAGAAGCTAGAGCCCACGACTTACACCTTTGTGGATGTGCGTGTATGCGCATGTGCACATGCAGATAGTACAACAGCTTAAACTCGGACTCACTCTCTGGGCTTGAACTCTGGGCCTGGCTCGAGCGCTCTACCACTTGAGCCACAGCGCCACTTCCGGCTTTTTTCTTTTTGCGTATGTGGTGCTGAGGAATCGAACCCAGGGCCTCAGGCATGCAAGGCAAGCGCTCTGCCACTGAGCCACCTTCCCAGCCCTCTCTGGGCTTTTTTACTCAAGGCTGGCACTTTGATCACTCGACCCACAACTCCACCTCAACACCGGAGGTTTTTAGGTGGATCAATGACACGTTCTGGAAAGGCTGCTTGGGCCGGAAAGATGTCTCTCGGGTTGCTTCAGAGAGGCTGCTAGGGGCTGTTGAATCTCTCTGGGCCAGGCCAGGTCGCAGGAAGCAGATAGAAGAGTTAAGAGTGGTGGCTTTGAGTCCCCCGTCTTCCAGGATTACCGGGAGAACTTGGCTGGACACCGTCTGAAAAAGCGCAATGAAACTATGGGAAGAGGCTCGCGAAGCCTTCAGGCAGGTGTGGTGAACTACAATTCCCAAGTGTCTTCGCGGTCCAAGCCTCCGTCCACTTCCGGATCTCATTCCCAGCGCTTCCAAATCTCGGGCGGGGTTTTGCTCCTTCAACCGAGCTTGGCTATGAAGGAGGAGGCGCGGCGGCCAATAGCCGCGCAAGTTTGCCGGCTCTGTCCAATGAAGTCAGGCAGGAGCTCCGCACCGCGAGGGCGGGGCCAGCGGGTGGGCCAATGACGGAGGGGCGGTGGCGCCATCAGCGTGAGCTGTGCGGTGGCTGGAAGTTACTGTGCGGCGGCAGCTGAGGCGCCTGTGGCGGCGGCGGCGGCGGCGGCGGCGGCTGCTGCAGCTGAGGCGACGACGGCGGGAACAGAAGATGGTAAGGGCGGCCGCCGGACCCGACTCCCCTTCCGCTTAGCGAGATGACCCACATACCCCTCGGACCCCGCGCGGCTCCCCCCGCGCCTCCCGGCCCCCGGCCCTCGCCCCGCCCCTCACGCTACCGGGACTCGGTCCCCGCCAGCGGTGCGCTTCCTGCTGACCCCGCCCCCTCCTCGACCCCTGACCCCGAGTGGGCCCCAGGCCCCGACAACTCATTGATTTCCGGGTCGCGATTCTCCTTCCCGTCCCCCCCCCGGAAATTTCCGGAGACCCCCCGCCAGCTCCGCTGGGTGCGGTGGGTGGGCCTGAGCCTGTCGAGTTCTGGAAGATTCGGGAGGCCGGTCGGGGGAGGGGGCCGGACCCCGCGCCGTGCGGGGCTTTGTCGCGGGAGGAAGTGCGACATCACAGGCTGCCGCGATTCCTCGGGAGTCGCCCACCCCCGGGGCCTCCCCGGGAGGAAGGTGTCGCGGTGCGCGCCTGGTGTGTGGGTCCCGGAGCCTACGTGCCATCCTTGGCTGGCCACTGCCACCTCCCCCCCCCCCAGCCGCCTCCACAACCCGGCCCTGGCCAGGCGTCGCCCCTCCTGGGCAGGTGGGCCCCACCCCTCCGGTGATCCTCCTCCATCCCGGCCAGGAGTTTTTAAAGATGTGAATCAGATGGTACTGCTTTCTAGCTGTCAAACCACAGCTGCCAGGGTGACCCAGCTCCTGGCCTCCACCCAAGACCCTGACCCCCTCTGTGACCTCATCTCCTAAACACACCCTCTTCAAGCCCCAGCCACTGGCCGTGTACCCCTCACACCCATGTTCCTGCTTCCTCGGGGCCATTGTACTCAGCAGTCCTCGCCGTGATGTTCTTTCTTCCTCCTGTGAGCATGGCTTCCTCAGCATGTTGTTGTTCATATCTTGCTTAGTGGGGTCACTGGTGGGTCACCTCTACAGGCATGGGAACACAGGAGTTCTGGAGTGTTTGCTGAGGCAGTGGATGGCTTAGGTAAGATTTTTGAGTGGGGGTCAGGACCTCTGCTGACCACTGCTTCCAGCAAGTCTCTTCCCTCACATCCCTTAGCCAGCAGGGCTGGGTAAGGACTGGGTCCAGGAGTCGGGGCTTTGCAAATTCTTGGTGTTTGGCCACTCAGGCCCCTGTAAGCCATGCAAGGGGCTCAGGGTTGAGTCTTCCCACCCTACCCGCACCCTCTTGGAGATGCCAGTCTAGCAAGTGAGGAAACATGGACAAAGACAGATGACCTTACAGGGGCATGAGCAGCTGGGGGACAGATGAGGAGTGGGAATGGTTTAAACCAGGGGGATGGGGGTTGGTGGGTTTGTTCCAGGTAGAGACATGAATGACTGTGTGTAGCAGGAAGCCACAGGGTGCTTGCTATCCTAGGCCAGGGCTGTGCAAGGACTTGCAGAACAGGGCCCTGAGCCCCTTCTCCATCACGGCCTCTGGGCATCCAGCCCCAGGCTCCCAAACTCCCAAAGGCCTCTGTCCTTCATGTCCTAGGACTCAGAGGTACCCTCCAGAAACCATGACCTCATAACTGCTTCCCGTGCATTGTGCAGGTCTCCTGGCACCACCTGTGGACCAGGCTGGGGCTTAGCCCAGGGAGCTGCTGCATGGTCGGACCAAGGGCAACCCTGCCAAGCAGGGGGGGTAGGGGGGTAGGCCTTATGAGCTGGCTGGGCTAAGGCGGGCTCCTGGGGGGAGGGGACTGGCTCCCAAGTAGTAAATCACAGGCACAGCAGAGCTGTCTCCTGGAGGGGAAGTGGAGGCCTACAGGCCAGGCCCTAGGGGAGCTGACACACAGTTCTCCCCCATTGAGAGTGGGGAGGAAGTTGTCTGGACAGCAGTTCCCCAGGAGGTCTGGGCCTCAGGGGTAGACGACTGCCCAAGAGTTGTGGCTTCTTGCAGCCCACGGGGCTCTGAGCTTTTGGCTTTCAGGGATGTCACACAACAGCAAGGACTTGGCCTCCGGGTTGGGCAAGTCTGGGACTAGGTGACTGCAGATGAGTCACAGATGGCCTCTCTGCCTCGGTATCCTGTGTTTATGATGGGGACACATGATGACATCTTTCTTAGGAACCCTCTGGCCCACAGCAGCACTTGTGGGGAGCCCATGCAGACCCGGCCTTTGTCCACTATCCCACCCCTCCCGCCCCAGGCCTGACCAGCAGGAATAGATTGAACAGGACTTTTGAGGACCTCCTGGGTTATATTGCTGGACCCCTGGAACCACAGGGGCTGTGAACACTGCTGGCCAAGCACTGGCCGGTATGAGGCAGAGGGGCAGCAAGGCCAGCACCTGCTCTGGACCATCCCTGCCCTGATGATAACATGTTCACACTGGGGTTGGATTTCTGGTCATTCTTGACCGTGAGGAGCTTGGACACGCCTTTTCTCAGGTGCCACACCCAGATGGCTGGGTTCCTACTCCATAAGCCCTGTTTGCTCTCCTGGTCCATGTACCTTCTCAGATGTTTCTGTGTCCTTGTTCCTTGTCAGAGGGGGGTTTCCGGGCAGAGGGGGGTTTCCGGGAACAGCCAGCGGCCCTGCACCCAAACCGAGCATAAGCACCCCTTGGCCTGGGCTGCTCGGGGGCGGCGGGCGGCGCTTCTCCCTGCTGCATACCAGTGGCCTATTCTCTCTGTGCCTCCGCATGGCCGTTAATGGGTGCTTGTGGCAGGGACGCAATTACAGGTACCTTCTAGAAAGTTTGTGTGGCAAAGAGACCAGAGAGCATGGCCCAATGCTGCCTTGCAGCTAAGTACTACTTTCTCACACCCTGTCTCCCTGTCTTCCAGGCAGATTTCTTAAAAGGATTGCCTGTGTACAACAAAAGCAATTTTAGCCGATTTCATGCCGACTCCGTGTGCAAAGCTTCGGTAAGTATGTGTTCTGGGGCGGGACATCGTCAGTGAGCTGTGAGGCCTGGGGCTGGCCTCCAAGATCATGGCAGGGACTGAGACCCCTCCTTTTCCACACCTTCCACAGAACCGGCGCCCCTCAGTCTACCTACCCACTCGGGAGTACCCATCTGAGCAGAGTAAGTACTGTCTGATGGTTCCCCAGCCCAGGGGCCAAGCTCAGCTTTCTGGTTTAGTTACCTTTCCCGGGCCTAATGGGGAGGCATCCAAAGAGGTGGAATCTGAAGATGGTGGTTAACACTAAAAAGCTGGAAGTGGAGCTATGACTGAAGTGGCAGAGCACTATCCTGGGGCAAAAAAGCTCAGGGACAACACCCAGGCCCAAAGTTTAAACCCTAAGACCAACACACACACAGAAAAAGGCCCATCAGTGCAAAGGAGGGGAGGGGCAAGTGATTCCTCCCAGGAGTCTGAGCTGGAGGTCAGGCTACCTGCACCTCTTCTGCCACTTTCTCTGTCTTTTCTCTGTAGTCATTGTAACAGAAAAGACAAACATCCTCCTGCGCTACCTGCATCAGCAATGGGACAAAAAGGTAAGGCACGCAGACAGCCATAGCTACTGGCAGCTGCAGGCTCTGAGTGGAGGAGGCAGGACAGGTTGGGAGGTGGGGTGTTAGAGCGTGGGGCCTTGAAGAGGGTTCAACAAGAAGCTGTAGCCAGTGGCTCAGGCCTGTCATCCCAACTACTCAGGAGACTGAGGTCTGAGGATCATGGTTCAAAGCCAGTTGGATTAGGAAAGTCCATGTGGCTCGTTTCTCCAGTTAACCATGAGAAAACCAGAAATGGAGCTGAGGCCAGAATGTTGTGGAGTGCTATCCTTGAGCAAAACATCTTGGGGACAGCGCCCAGGCCCTGAGTTCAAGCCCCACAGGGATTTTTTTAAAAAGGAAATAAAGACGCAAGCCGTTTGGGAGGGGATGAACGCCTCAGTGCAGGGAGGACTTGCTCTGGGCACAGGGCCCCAGGGCTCCAGGGCTTGGGAGCTCAGAGGACCGATCCCAGGACCGAACAACAGAATCCAGCCCTGCACCTAACTGAGATCTGTGGACATGGCAGGACTGTCCCCAGGGACCCCAAGTGCTCCTTCCCTCTGGCCAGATGTTGGCTCCTCGGTGTTGGGGCAAAAGGCCGTGTGTTGGTCGTGGAAGTTATGTTAGTTCTGCTTACAGTGCCTGGTCACCTGACGCAGGTCCGAGGTGACACTGGACAGGGCTTGATGGGGGAAGCCCTGGGCCAGCGCAGCCTTGGGTCCCAGTGCTCTGCTCCAGGACCAGCGCTAAGATACTGCCACAGGAGCCTGGCTGGGACCCATACCTGGGATCTCAGCCCAGTGGAGGCTCACAGCGCTATCCTTCCCCGCCCCAGAACGCTGCCAAGAAGAGAGACCAGGAGCAGGTGGACGGGGAGGGGGAGAGCTCGGCGCCCCCCCGCAAGGTGGCTCGGACCGACAGCCCGGACATGCACGAGGACACCTAGGACCCCCGCTCCTCCGGGGGTCTTCCCAGGCCAGCTCCTGCCACCTGCCCACCCACCCCCCGCCCGTAAGCCTCCTGCCCGCCTCCCAGGGCCCCCACACCTCGCCGTCCACAGCGTGTTCAACCTCATAGGAGCCGACGTATTTATTTTCCTTAGTTTTTATTTATGCTGTGACATGTGTCAAGCGGTGGTTAAAGGGGACCTTAGAAGTGTGATGTCATTAGACGCTTTGTCAACATACATTGGTCTTCACACACACACACACACCCCTGCCCAGGTCCCCCATCCCGAGAGCAGGAGTGTGTCCTCGAGCGCCCAGGGCCAGGGTTCCTGCTACAGCCAGGTGGCAGGGGTGGGGCCAGGCCTCGTGGTCTGGTCTCCCTGGACAGCTGAGCGGCCTTTTCCCTCACACCGGACCGGTCCAGCCTCAGACTCCGCCTAGTCTTGAGGTCCTCCAAGATCTATTCCGTACCCAGGCCTCACTGAGAGGCAGGGGAGAAGCTGGCCCTTCTGGATATTCCTCTTAAGTCATTTATCATGGACTAGTGCGTGCTCCATGTCTACCCCAATAAAGGATCTTTCCTACTCAACCTCGAGTCTTTGCTCCGCACATCTCAGCCCTGGAGGACAGTCCCTGAAAATCGTCAGCATCACTGAGAGGAGTGGAAAGGTCCCTTCCCACTGGGGCCCTGGGACCAGCTGGATTCTCTCCTGAACTTGCTGTGGCCATCATGCTCAAGGCCAAGACCTGCTAAGACTAGCCCTCTGCCCCCCCTGTGCAGGTGTGCGTGAGGACCAGGTCACCCCGAGACAGTCTGGTGCCAAGTGCACAGCTGGGGTCATCTAGGATACTACCAAGTGGGGCTGGGTTGCTGTCAGACACCTAACGTGGAACAGCTACTCCCAGAGGCCCAGGGCTTTTGGTGACAGCAGAGATAATGCAGATGTGGCCAGCACTGGTGGGCTATCCCGGCACAAGCCCAGCTCATCTAGGAGCCAGACCAACTGGCTGTCTGTGACTCAGCATGGGTGTTGGGAGATGGCTGGGGAGGGGCACCTCCTCCCTGCCTGGAGCAGTGGTACAGTCCGCCTTGGGCCTGCTCCTGCTCACTTCGCCTCCCAGGTGCCCTCAGTCTGCACAGTAAGGTGGGCTCCCCAAGTCCCAGACGTGGACCTTGCTTGTGCAGCACAGATTGAGATGGGTTGGCTGAGCTCCCTGGGGCCCGAGAGCTGGCCTGGTCCTGGGCGGGCTCACGGTGTTGCTGCATTGATGGATGGTGGGACCCCAAAGGCCCGGGGGGGGGGGAGCACAGGTAGCACCCAGGGCTGGCCCTGTGGGGGTGCGCTCCTGTCTCCTCCCTCAGCGGGCAGTCCCCGCCTGAGTCTCCCCAGCATCTTTGTCTCCTATGCCCTCACCCGGGGCACCCAGTACCCCACGCTTGCTCCAAACCGTCTTTCCCGTCGCTGCCCCTGTGCAGGCTGCTGCTGGCCTCCGGCCTCCCCAGCGACCCTGCAGCTGGTCCCACACCGTAGGACAAACACAAGGCCTCGCGGCCCCGCTCCTGTCCCCCGCGGGGCGCCCCAGCCTCCCCGACCTCGTTCACCCCGGGGCCCCGGCGCCCCCCCACCGCTCTGGCCTCTGACCCTTGAAATATACTTTTTATTGCATTTCTGCCGTTTTACAAAAATATGACAAAATAAATTAAAAACAAATAAATAGTCGCCTATCCGTGTTTCTATCGGCTCGGGGTTTGCGCCCCACCCCGGCGGGAAGGGAAACGGCAGATGGGAGGGGACGGCGGGCCGCGGGGCCGGCGGGGCCGG